CCTCCACCACTTACTTCAAGCTTTGGAGTTCCCCCTCCCCCCCCCGGGATCCATTACCAGCACCTCATGCCTCCCCCACCTCGACTTCCCCCCCACTTATCTGTGCCACCTCCAGGGTCAGTGCCACCTGCCCTGCACCTCAATCCAGCTTTCTTCCCACCCCCAAATGCAGCCATGGGGCCTCCACCAGATGCCTACAGCAAGGCCTCTGCACCATATAATCACAGCAGGTGAGAACGAGTCCACTCTTAAGAATCTGCCTAAAGTGGAAGCAGCACAAAGAAGGGTGTCTAGGTCTAATTCAAGATTTAGTTGGGCAAATTATTTGTTAGGATAAAAATGTGTTTTAGTTGGGCAATACAGAAATGCCAGGAAGTGCCTTCAATCACAGGGAAAGATTTCAACAGTCTTACAATTACTATAATATCTGCTATGGTGGGAAATAAGAGATACATATTTAGCAACACACTTCCTTTTTGCGGGGGAGGCTCTTAATCATGCATGGTGGCCAAAGTAGTTCTGCTGAATGATGGGTGCATTCTTCTGTACTGCAGCAGGGAGTTGGGCCCATTACCTCCACCTGTTGGTGATTCAGAATTTGACGATATCATGAATAGGAATCGAGCAATTTCCAGCAGTGCCATATCTAAGGCTGTATCTGGGGCCAGTGCAGGTAAGTGCAGTTGCTTAATGCTGTCTTTTCTTTCCTAGCTCAGGCCTCAGTCTTAATATCTTGTTTATGTTGTTATGCTTCAGGGGATTACAGTGATGCAATTGAGACCCTGCTTACAGCCATTGCTGTAATTAAACAGTCCCGTGTAGCAAATGATGAGCGGTGTCGGGTCCTTATCTCTTCGCTTAAGGATTGCCTTCATGGCATTGAAGCTAAGTCTTACAGCATGGGCACTGGCGGCAGCAGCAGTTCCTCGAGGTGAGTTACAACAAGCAAACCTATTTGTGTTTTATCTGGCTGGTTTTATTATATTCCTGACTCAGTCCTATTGTTTGGGATTCATATATCCATATAAGCAATGTGTCCTTTGGTAAAACAAAAACAAAAACCTGACAGCAAGTTTAACCTATTAACCACACTTGATATTTCTGTTATTTTCCAGAAAAAGACATCGATCACGAGATAGGTCACCAAGTCGGTCACGTGAGAGCAGTAGGAGGCACCGAGAGGTGGTTCATAATGAAGATCGACATGAGGACTATTTCCAAGAAAGAAGCCGGGAGCACGAGAGGCACAGAGACAGGGACAGAGAAAGAGATCGGCATCATTGAGAGAAGTGAGAACACTTTTTAGATGGGGCAAAGGAGTGTTAATATACCTGTCTGTTTTTATTATGTCTTCCTCCCTTAAAAAAAAGGAAATCAATCTGTCTCTTCCCTCTAATTGGGTATCATAGTCCTTATTGTTGTCATCAGAATCAGTGATAGACATTGGGCAGGAAAAGTGATGTTAAATTAAGACTTGAACCCTGGTTGTTGTTTTTTTCGTGTATTTGTGGGCATTTAATTCTCCATAGTGAGGGGGGAGGAGTATCCAGGATGGGTTTGACCTTATCCTCTCGTGATTGGTTTGAGTCAGATAAGC